AATGAGGAAAAGCGTGCTATATGCTACTAGGCATAAACACTATCTCCCAACTATGCTACTAGGCATAAACACTATCTCCCAACCATCCGATTTGTATGGATAGCTAGGATAGCTTTAGTCGTAATGTCACAAGTGCACTCTTTAATCTAGATGTGCCATGTCAGAGTCTTTTATTTTTAATTTTTCTATAAATTACATAAACATGAAATTTGATGCATGTTATCATCTCAATGGGGTGCATCTAAAAAAATATGAAAAGATATTTTCAAAAATATAAAATAACCAAATTTACTCCTAAAACTTTCATTGGCATCTGTCATTTTATTTTTCTTAGGGTTTTTTTTTTATTTTTTTTGTAGGTGTGAGCCTATGAAAATGTGACGTCTCAAATTTAGTGTCAATATGATTTGTAGAAAAAATTTAAAAATAAAATAGAGTTTAGGGGTGAAATTGTGATTGCAGAAAGCTCACTCAAATAGGAAATGTGAAAAGAGCTAGTGCTCACACAGGAACATAATGTGCATTTGCTCCCAAGGGTAAAATTCATGTTACACATATTTTTTGGACCTCAGAATTTCAGGATGTAGCCTATACAACCACCCAATAACCAAGCTCAAAATAAAATAGAAAAAGGGATTCTCCATGTGCTTCAAAAAATCGACGTCCTGAGATTGGACAAGAACCATCCAATTTGGGAGGGCAAGATTTAGGTTCTCAAGAATTACAAATCTTTTTTGCTTTTTTTCTTGAAAATAATCATTTGAAGATATTTGGATCCCAAAATTCCAGATAAATAAAATCTTCCCAAGGGACTCTTTTGCCCAAGAGCATGTTGTATGCTCATATTTAAAACGAAAAGATATTACTCTTCGACATGAGTTTACTGTCCATGTACACCTTCGAATAAAACCTCATGTATGATTAATTTTAGGACCATTCAACCTCTTATACCCATGGATTAACCTCAATAAAAAACTACTGCTAATTACACCCTCTATGCATTTTAATAATTTATTAGAGACTGTCCAATTTTATAGGGTAAGATCAAAGTGATAGAAAAATCTCAAAATTTTCTTTTGCGAATCAACATTTAGTGATGGTTCCCAAAATTTCAGATTGAAAAATTCCTCCAAAGTAGAGGGAGTAGATGTAAACTATTACGCACTCATTTTTAAAGTTTGAAACTAGAACATGATTTTTTAGTAAATTTTTTAAGGGTAAGATAAAAAAATAAGTAAATATCGTAAAAATAAAGGGAAGGTTTACCATGCTACATATTGTAAATTTATCGTTATGTTACACATGGTTGTCCACCCTAGATTCTCAACCATGGACTGTGAGGGCTTCTATTTGGTGTAATATCCCATCAAGGATAACTGCGCGGCTCTAAGAGATGGTACACTCACCATGGCTACCTGGAAGGCTTCT